TTCTTCGCACTTTTGGTGATGAGCAGGTCTTTCGGCCATGTCGTAATGGGATGTTGTCAATTCTACGGCATCTTCGTCAGGACTTTGACCAACATCATTCGGACCTCAAGCTGTATAAATGGACTTTTCAGTAACAACATGGCCTACCTGTTGCTAGGATTCTTCCTAAAGAATCCAAACAGTTCATGAAGGCTCGGCCCATCATTGCGTACACGAAATGCTGGCACACAAAGACTAGCTCTTTTCTGGCCACTGCGTTGTTTGAGCTTATGCAAGTTGCTTTTCCAGTCAACTCGACATGGAACACGGCGTCAGTACACACCGCGTTGAGTGCCGCATGGCGGTACATTCAGTCGGTTGACCCGAAGTGTGAAGCGCTAGAATTGGTACAACAGGACCTCATTGGGTTCTTCAACTCCGTACCTCATGCCAGGATTCTGCAATCGCTGGAATTGTTGACATGGAGACTTGAAGACCTGTTTCAGCAGAAAGCAGAGGACATCGTCTTTCAAGTGGACATGAAGGCAGGTACCAAAGGCCTCAGGATCTTTCGAGGTCAGCAACGTTTTCGCCAATCTGCTACGAGAGTGCTGCGACTTTGTCATGTTCAGGAGTGTTCAGGAATTGACAGAACTCAGGTCTGCCTATTTTAAACTAGGACAAGACACTTTTCGTCAGATTCAAGGAGCCAGTATGGGATCACCTTTGGCTCCAGTTCTATGTTCCCTGGTGGCTGCAGAACAGGAATTTCTGTTGATCCGCAGTTTTCGACAACAACTCCAAGCAGCAGCATTACTTCGAGCTTTCAGGTATGCTGATAATCGATGCTTCTTTCTTCGTCAGTCAGAGAGACACACAGATTGGGCGACCTTTGCATTGCATTTGGCTTTCTATGGACTGCCTATTGAACTCGAACAGGTACCGGGTGAACAGCTTCTAGGTTCCATTACCTCGACTGTACAAGGTACCATCACCATGCAACAGCCAGGTGATATTACACTTCTTCGTTCCATGCGATCGGTAGGCCCCACTTCAGCAGCGATGTCTGGGTTTCATGCACGAGCTTTGACAATCACTCGGCAGACCCGACCCAGGAGATTAATTCGACCGCAGGTGGAGGACTTAATTGAACTCTATCTACGTAGAGGTTTTCCACCCGTTGGTCTCCGTGACCAGATTCGCCGACTCAGGATTTAAAACTACGCCGTCATTCTTTGCAAGAGTGCAGTTTCGAGTCAGCCAGTGCGTAGAACCGCTTCAGGAACCAGGTGCAACATTCTTGGCCGAAGCAGTATCAGGTCCAACTACAGCCATCCAGCTTAGTTTGCAGTCGCTATCCATAAAGATGGATCAGCAAATGATGAATGATACTCGCTGGCGCATCAACTTTGCTTCCACGGCACAGCTGTTGGAACTCTTGTGGCAAATATGGGATCGATTGAATCGTCGTTTCAGGTTCGCGGACGGCCCAATCAGATGCCACAGACAATGCGAGAGTTGTTTGAACCGCTGTTGTTATCACAGCCACTCGATGACGGAGGAGAACCGCCACGATTGGCACGGACCACATCAATGCTTCATTCATGATGACAATGGTTATGATTATTTGTGAACATTTATAGAACTGTCGGCTGCAGTTATAAAGACGAGCGTTGCATGCAGTCTCTCTCTCTCTCTCTCTCTCTCTCTCTCTCTGTGCATTGAAACTTGCACAGGAAGCTATCAACCGTGACAGAACTGATTTCAGGTTAGGCTCGAGTCTGGACAGCCAATCATAGCCTTTCATCATGGACGACGATTCCTTTTCAGGTTCTTTCCCGGAGTCGTTTCATTTGTCAGCGTCATCCGACGACTCGGTGCATAGTTCAGACATTGACCGTTCAGAGAAGAGTTTCGTCGACACCGACTCGGAGATTCAACCAGGTACCGTCGACAGCTTAGACATTGAGGACATTGCGGATTTGCCAGATGCCGAATTTCAGCAACCATGTTCCTCGTCATGTTCTTCGTCTCAGAGTCCTTGTGAGCGACGCAAGCTGAAACGGAGCAAGAAGCCCAGGCCGGTGATAACAAGAGTTATCCCATGTCCCAAGAAACAATTCACACAAAGGATGCTTGAGACTACAGGCCTGGGTGACGATTTTTACATACCCAAGCGAGCACAACTCATGCTTGATTTCGTTAAGAAGCCTGGTAACAAAGTTGCCAAAGAAGTGAAAGGTCCTGCACGCAGTTTCTCTAGCATGACAGATCTTCTTGATTTTGCGTTGAGTAGAGCCAAGATGAGAACTGAAGGTTGATCCAGCTGCATTGTTCAGGTACGGCACCAGGCTGTCAGATGGCTTTTGTGATACAGACAGTCGTGCAGGTTATATCCCCCTGGAAAGGGGGTGTGTGTGTGTGTACACCCTGATTCTAAGCTAAGGGTCTTTGGCAATCTTTCGTTTTTATGACAGCAGGGGAGTGCGGCATGACTGTGGGACCGCACTCAACGAAGCTACCACAGTCATGGGATACCGAGTCTGATCAACTCGGCGTACCTGCAAGCGTGGCCAGCCCGAAGTACCCTTAAAAAGGCTGTTGTTTCTACAGTTGGCCAACAAGTGAACATCAGTCTGCACGGTTGCTGCAATCTGCTTTTTTTTTCGCATCGCGTGTATGCCAGGACGATTAAATACACAGGTCAGAACAACATCTGTATGGACTGTATGGTCTTTCTCGAGTTCAGTTGAAGTGGCGGCAGCCGACAATGAATCTTACCCCACATCTCCGTGTGTGTGTGGGGAACCCTGTTTCGAAGGATAAAAAGCAGGGGGCTGAGGGCCCGTGACTGGCGCCTCAGCCAACGAAGAATGCCAGTGACAGGGCGTGAAAATGTACCTGCAAAAGGGAGGGAGCCGTGCACCTTGGTCGTCGTGACAGCTGGCGGCCCTCATGAGGAGTTCCTGCGTCCGTCGTGGCAGCTGGAATCCTCACGCTTTACAAGCGCGAGTGTGAATTTTTTCCGTAGTGGCATGGGACTATGATTATGCCCGCAAAATCTTTTGATTCCGCATGGCTTCCGGGCAAGCCACAAACCTGGCATGTCCACGAAAATCTTTTAACCGCCGATGTTGCTGAAGATTTTTACCTTGCGAGTAGCTTTGCGAGTCAACAAGGACAAGTCAGAGGGAGGATCGCACGAGGGTGCCTCTAGACGGTTTCTCGTTCAACGCGCCGTCTTCGGCGGGAGGGCAGCCTACTGCGTTGAACCCTGATCGGTTCCACTGCTGTTGAACCCTGATCAGTTCCTCATCCTTGAACCCTGAACAGTTCAAATCAGCAGGTGTGCATGTCGTCAAAGCACAACCACGATCCTGAACGATCAGGCGACAGGCTGGTTCATTCCTTGTATGGTTCCGCTGTTGAGCCTCGCAACTGTTCAACTTTGAGACCAGTTGGGCCCAACCAGTCACCAGTCACCAGTCACTGTCTTTGCTGATATCCTCCCACAGTTTGCCTTCAGTTGAGATTCAGCTGGGGATGGCACCGTTTTTAAACGCCCTGGCCGTTTCAGCTGTCGGTCGGCAAGCACTCCGGGGCTGCGGCAGGTGGGTAAGACCTGCGACGAATTGCAAGCGCCGTTCTCTGACGGGGTTTGAAGTGCCCAACGTGGGCCACCCCTTTTCTTTTTATTTCTTTTTCTTCCATTTACGACATTTGTCGTTTCAGAGTCACATTTTTCATTCGCGCAGCCGGGAAGCCTGTTTCAAACCCCAAGGACGGCCTGCACCTGCATTTCTTTTACTTTTCTACTATGTTTTAAGATGTTTAAAGGCTTCACAGCCAACCGCCAGCCCTCCTGCAGAGCCCTTCCTTTTTTGTTTTTCTGTTTGTCCAGCGTGGATAACCGTGCAAGGTGCCGCAAGGCCCAAATGGCCGCGTGTGTGTGGGGACGCAGCTGGCACCTCAGCCAGCGAAAAATGCCAGTGACAGGGCGTGAAAACTTACCTGCGAACCAAAGGGGAGGGTGCCATGCACCTGCGTCGTCGTGAAAGCTGGTGGCCCTTATGAGGAGCTCTTGGGTTCGTCGTGGCAGCTGGAATCCTCACTGACATGTCGACGAAAATCCTTTAACCGCCGATGTGGTTGAAGATCTTTACCTCTGCAAGTACTGCTTTACGAGTCAACAAAGACAAGCCAGAGGGAGGATTGCACGAGTGTTTGTGTGTGTGTGTGTGTGTGCGCGTGCGAGCGTGCGAAAACGAGACGCTGTTGTTTAGGTGGCATAAATATTTGTCAGGAACGCTCGTGTTGACTAGCTGTCAGAAAGTGGTTGACGTTGTCGCAGAGTTGAAGGCTAACCTCCACAAGCATTCTTGTCGATTCGTTGGTTGTGACTGTCAGCAGCAGTCATTTTGTCGAGCCAGTGATGACATATTTCGTGTCTTGTGCTTGTCGGATGGGAAAGCCAAGACCACGGCAACTTCAGTTGAGATGCGACTTATGTAGCAACATGTTTCCAGGCCTCGCAGCTTAAGCTTTGGGTTAGGGGTTGGGCCACATGTGCTTGCTGACCGTAAGACACCTCACCAAACCCTTTGAAGCAGTGTGTACACATGTGTACATATGTGGCGTGTGTGGGAGGCAGGTTGGGGGGGGAAGGGGGGGACTCAGAACGAGCAACGCACCACCATCTGTGCTGGTGTATGGAGACGGGTTCATCCGTCGTTTCATTTCGTGCTGCTTCACGCATGTGGGATCCCGTGGGTCTGATGCTGCCGGGCCGGACCCTTACCACCACGTGCGGCTAATGCAACCCTTGCTTCAAGTCTTCAACTTCTGACTGGCGTGATTCTTCTGCAACCGGTATGCTGTATGAGTCACTATGACTTTAGCTGCCCTACCGCTGGTGCGGATCTTTACTATGGCTGCCGCACTTATCGGCCAAGATATCAAGTAGAGGTCGTTGAGGGGCGTTACTGCATGTTATGCATGTTACTGCAAACTTGTACGTTGAGGTTGCCAGCTTCGAGCAGTTGGAACTTGCCCGAGAACAACATGTCACAGGGGGCACAGGCTGTGAGCTTTGTGATGCTGTCGTCGACTTGAGCCAGCATGACTGTGACCACTATCGCCTGGCTTGGAAGAGTCCCGACCTTTTTCGTGTCCCGTTTGCCATGGTCGCCTGTAGCCGAAGGGCTTGTGCGGCATGGATTCTTTTGCTGGCCCGGGGCGGGATCGCCTGGAGCGCCCCTCTCATCGTTGACACAGACATGAATCAAGACGACATGGCGGCTCTGGTCTATTTGATCCGAAGTGGGGCGGACATCAAAGGTATTACCGTCAGTGCCAACGGCTTTTCTGCACAGAGACTTCGACTGCAATTTTCCTGTGCTGCTGTCACTGCTGTCAATACTAAAAACTATCTTGATCTGCTTTGATTAAGCTGGCTGTGCATGTGTAACCGGCTTCATCAGCGCATGTCAGCGCTTGGATGCTTTCGGTTGAGATCTGTTGTGTCACAGTTAGGTCTTTTTGTCGGACCATCTTTGCGGGGCTGATCTCTTCAGAACGTGTCCTTGCTTGGCCCGTGTTAACAGGTCTCATAGGCATGACGATGTTCCATGCTCTTCTTGTGCAGTCTTGCACCTTCCGTGCATCTTCGTGCGTGCCAGTGTTGAAAGTTCAGTCCTTCGACTCCAACAATGGAGCGTGTTCAGGCTCCACAGCATTAAGGCTTCCGGACCTGATCGATCGATGGTTTGCGTGGCGTCGAGGGTTTAAGCCCTGCCTTTCGGCATTCTCCGGCCCAGAAGAGTTTCACGCACTAGGGGCAGCATGGTCTGTCAAGACCTGAGGTCGGCAGGAGTGGACAATGCCTTGCGGTTGCTCCACAAGCTGAATCGCAGTGACATTCCTGTAGCATTTCAAGAAGGCTATTTGGGTTCAACGCTATTGAACTTGGATTATCCGAACGGAATGCCTCCACGGATCTGGACAGAAGCATCTAATCACTATCTCAAGACATGGATCGCCACGCAGCCCAGTCCAAAGCCCGCAGCCTGGCAGACTGCACCGCAATTGATTCTTCAGATCTTGGACCGCGCGCCGAACAACAGCGTGCACGTTTTGGAGTTGGGTCCATACACAAACCTTGCAGCCGCGTTGCACAGAAGTGGGGGCGCCGAACTGTTTCGATCAAAGGTGAAATGCTTGTATGTGCAAGGCGGCAAAGTGCAAGGAAATCATGCTGTAGAGCATTCAGGAGCGGGGCGAAACCAGACATCTGATAGACTTTGTTTTTTGGGCCAGTCGGGCGCAGTAGCAAAGATGGCAGCCCTGTCAGGTGCTGCACTGCGCGGTTCCGGGTCGTCCGGGGCTGGTTTGGCCACTGGCTTTCCTTGGAGCACCGACAAGAAGCCAAAGAATGCTTCTTGGAACATCTTTCTGGATGCTATTTCTGCAGCACAGGTATGGGCATTCGGTCTGGAGACTGTTCTAGTGCCCGACAGCGCATTCGAACATCTGGAGGTCGAGCCAAGTGACCCAAACATGTTCGTACCAGAGAATTGCAGCAACAAGTTGCTGAGTGACATAGTAATATACTGGGCGCCGTCACAAAACCAAACGTGGTCAGGCTTGAGATACTGGGATCAGGGGACGGCGGTTGTCGTAATGCAGCGACTTCTGGGCAAGGAGTCTGTCTGTGAGAAGTGGATACAATCTGGTATCATGGTCAGCCTGCAGAATGATGCCAGCTATGCGACATACCTTCAAAGAAGCGCTGGTGCAAGAAGCGAGGCCTACCCTAGAGCTTTGTTTTTCTGCACTTGATCAATGCGGAAACGCATCAACACATCTGTGGGCATTTCACATGTAATACGGAGGTCCCGCAAGTACGAGCTTCCACCCAGAACCCACCAGTCGTCAAACATCTGCTACTTAACGACTTACGATCTTGTCCTGGCCCGATTTCGGTAAGCAATTGGATGCCAAGGCTAGTTAGTGTGTGTCTCCGCGCAGGTCTGTCTAGCAACATCGAGGACTGCTTTTCTCCAAGACTTCTACAGTGCAGGATGCCAATAATGGCAGAAAGCCGTGAGTTCCACCACATGGAGCGATCTGAGGTCGCGGGGCCCGCATGCTGCCTCTGCGCAGAATTAAAACTTGCCAGCAAGAGCAAGCAAAACATAGTGAAGCTGCATGTACTGCGCTGATCTAAAACTTGCGAGGTGGTCGTTCCAGGTCAGATTTTCAATTGCTTAACGTCAGAAGCTCTAGTCCCCGTAACATCGCGTGGTCATGTTAATCCTAATTGCACTCCTGCCAGAGTGCCGTGCATGTTCGGGGCTGGATATCGTGCTCCCGCCACGCTCCTCGTCGCCGGTCCTAGCAGGGCCAATAATGAGGCTTTTTGGGTTGTTTGGTCTTTGAATCCTGGCGTTCTAGTAGGTTTCGGAACTTGACGAAATTCGACACCGTTTTCCGCCACGGTGCTGTGCGTTTTGTGGGGTGGGCATCCTCTTCCCGCCGCAGTCTTTCTCGTTTCCGCTACTCGAAGATCATGCTCTCGCGGCAGTTTCGTGCGAGACTCGTTCTGGCTGAAGAAAACCGTGCTCCCGCCACAGTCACCTGCACATTTTGGTTCTTGGGTATCTTGGGCTTGGGCTCTTAGATATGTTAGGTGCTCTGTTAGTGTTAGGGCTCTGTCAAATGCCATCAATTTAATGCGCGCGAGTGCAGTCCGCAGTCAAAGGTCCATGCTTCAAAACCTCGGAGACGCAAGAGAGATGACGTCCCAACCGCCATGTAGTGCAGTAAGACTGTCGATACCTCCGCCGGAGAGCAGAAGGTGTCGCGATCGTGTACATATATTTCGGGTTCTAAGGATGTGGTTTGACGATGAAACCTGTCAGTTCAGAGGGTTTCTGCAACTTTGAGACTTGCACGAAGCTGACACCTGCTGGCAGAGTTCACAGTAATGTTATGAATGATTATTGTAATTATTTTTTTGGTTTTCGCGCTACCATTATTTTCCTTTTTCAAGTAGATCCATTGTTGTTATCAGCAGCATTGCTGCTATGACGCATGACTAATAGTAATACTACTATTACGAATACTATTACTAAGACTACATGAATAAAATTATTACTTTCCGTAAAATTGTTGACGTTGCTGCTGCTTCTAGTGATTGCTAGGACTACGATTATTACTGTAGTTATTGACACCATGAATTTTTGTTGTTGGTGCTATTGGTAATTTTTGTTTGGTATTTCAAGCTTATCAATGTATTATTCTTATCTTTTATTCTTGCTGCAATCATTGTGCACAGTTTTATTACCAGTGTTATTGCTATCGTTTTTATTATCTTCCTTGTTGCTGCTGCTATGGTTGTCGTCGTCGTCGTGCTGCTGCTGCTGCTGCTGCTGCTGGTGGTGTTGTTGTTGTTGTTGCTGTTGCTGCTGCTATGGCAATTAAACACTTCGCATCGTCCGCCTTGGCCCGGCCGCAAACAAGCAAAGAAAGAGGGCCGGCGAGTACAACTGTCCTTGTTAGTTTTGTTGCTACCATGATGGTGATGATGAAGATCATCATCACCATCACCAACTATGTTTGCAGAAGATGACAGGCGGCGGCGAGACGTACCTTGCATCACTCTCCATCTGCTCCTGAGTTCGCCCAGAACCGATTTAGAAGTGGTGCCCTGTTGCGACGGACTGGTCATAGCATGTCCGCTCGCTCTGAGGCCAGTGCAGGGCAGGAGAAGACAGGCGGGGTTTGCCTTCTACACTCTCCTTGGTTTTCAGGCGGCTCCACGAAGCTCTCAAAATTACAAGTTCGTGCACCAGAATGCCGGCGTTGAAGTTTCTTCGTGCAGCAGTCGCAGCACTTCTGCTTTGAAGACCGCTGTGCCTGCATACGAATGAACAGCAACAGTAACTTGCAAAGGATACATCTGAGAGTGATACTTAGGTGATATCAACATAGATTCGCCCACTTTGCGTCTCAAAGGTTGTCAGGAAATCGATAACTAATGATTACTTCCCTTCGAACTGGAGTCAAGGTCTGCTTTTGATTTGTTCGGATTGGTTTGGTGGATGTGTCGTCGGTTTGCTGTAGTGCCTGACAAAGATAGTTGTTCTGGCAGCCCCCAGCTGTGGAGTCGTGGAGGATGTTTTGGTCGTGTGGCTATCCAGGCATCAAAAAATCCAAAGCTTGCCTATCCAGGCATGCACAGCTTGCCTATCCAGGCATCAAAAAATCCAAAGCTGGCCTATCCAGGCATGCATGCACAAGTTGCTTATCCAGGCATGAAAAATCAAAAGCTTGCTTATCCAGGCATGCACCGCTTGCCTATCCGGGCATCAACAAAAACTTCCTTCCGCATGAGAAGGACGCACTCTCAACGTTAACCCACACATGCTCGAATATTGACTAATGCAGATTTACGAAAAACAGTTATCTCTCTATATCTCTCTCAATGTTAGTTGCGTGCCGACTGTGCTCCGGCACCGTGCGTGCTGCTGGCCTCCTGGCAAATGCATTCCATGTGCGTGGAATCGGGGATATATTCCGAGTGCACTCTAAAACAGTCTCCTCGCATAGCCGACAAAGACGATTGCTTGTGCTTGCGGAAGCTCAGGACAAGTTTGACTGAATGTTTACCGTTTATATCACTCCTCTCGTGTGATGCACCAACACTGTTCGCAGGTCCGAGCTCTTCCAGAAACTCTGGGCTGTGGAGCCTCAGACACGGGCTGCGGGTCCTTTGCAGTTCGAGGGATGTGCATGTTTCCTTGACACTTTCGCGAATCTTGCCTCACAGTCACAAAGCTCTCTGACACAGCTCTGAGGCAGGGGAGGACAACCTCCAGGCAGCAGCGCTCCGTCACGTGGAAACCTCGGTCCCCTCCTGCCTATGTCGAAATCGTCCAACGAATCCAATGCTGAGGCCGGATGCTCCAAGAAGACGCCCGGTCAGCGCTCTCCTGAATGGAACTTCCACCATAGTAGCCAAAATGGCACAGGTGAGAGATGGTTTGCATCTCAGGAGCTGCAGCTGAACACGAGGTCCTCCTTTCGAATCTGTGGAGGACCATTGCAAGCTGCCTCGAAACATGCACATATGCAGTCAGGTTTCGGCATCGTTGCGAGTTCCAAGTTCTGGGAAACATGTGCCAAAGCTCGAGCGGGAGGTGCCCAGTGCCTGCACTTGGTGTATGATCATTTTGCTCACGGTCGCGCTTGCTTGTTGAGTGTCAGGCGCCTGTGCACATTCGTCTCTACCAGGCAAGCTCGGCGCAAATTGGGCAGCGGTTAGCTGCGACTGCCTGTGAGGAGAAGGATGATCGCCGAAGACGCCTTGAACAGGCCGAACTGATGTCAGCTGCCGCTGATGAGCGGAGATGCGCCGGAGAGGCTCGGCTGCGGCGCTTGGAGCAGGAAGAGGAGGCAGAAAACAAAGAAGCTCTTATGCGAAGTACGTACAAAGCACTCCGTGCTTGTTGGAGGACCTGAGGCTGGCGGCCGAGAGAGCTTTAGGAAGGCAGCCGAGCCCAGCCAGCAGGGCCCCTGGCTATGCGATTCTTTTCCTGCCAGAAGAACCCATCTCAGTGTGGCTCGCATGTGTAGAGAATGTGGGTGCGGCGCGTGCTCAGTAATGCATTGTAGATCACAGCCTTCCCTTCAAAGCCGAGGACCACGCCGTGATCCGAGCCCAGGTGGGGTCTGCAACGGCCTGTTGCGTCGCAATTTGGCAGTGCTTCGCAGACCCGGTCAAGTTTCGAAGTTCGGGAGGTAAGATGCTTGCGGGTCCCGGCGGTCCAAGCTCTGCCAGAGACTTGAATACACCAGTGGCCACTGGCTGACCAGATTTTGAAATCAAGCTCTATCAGCATGCCTTGATCGTTGCAAGGTGGGCAGGTCGGATTCTCCTGCCATCAGGGCAAGACCTCCGATTCCTGACAGGCTCAACCGACGCTCTTTTCCAACATGAGTTGATTCCATGTCATGTAGTTCTCTTGCAATTGATTGAAATTCAGACTGGACGTCATGCAAGAAACGCTCAGAATCATTCCAAGGTGATTCCACCGCTCATTCCACTTGGTTTCTCACGCGTTCGCGAAATCTGACCGAAAGCCTGGGAGTCTGGGGGAGGGTTGGAGGATGTTGGAGGCGGGCGTGTGTCTTTGCAATGCGGTGCATCTGCTGGGTGAGACGCGCTACAGCCCAGCATTGAACAGGTATCCTAGTCGCCCTCGGGCTGTAGGGTGTCATGCATTTCTTATTCATTTCTTGGCCGGGGCTCGCGCCCATGTATGGTCAGGTAGAGCACCCTAGGGTTAGCGATTAGGTTGCAGAGTAGAGAAATACAATGTACTCGCACGATACAACTGCAAGATAATGCCAGCACTTAGTCACGTCACGGTAACACGGAAGTGGCTTGAGAGGGCAGCAAACGCGGTTGCACTACTAGGATTCACGCATAGAGGCGCACCAAAATTAAGAAACCTAGCCGATTTAGGTTGATACATTCATCAGCAAAGGCAGAAACGGTTCGATGGTTTTCCTGCTGCCACTGCATCCTTGGCACGCTGGCCCTCGGCCTTAGGCCTTACTTAGGCTGGAAACCCATCAAAGGAAGACATTTCTTGTTTTTGACTGGGTTTGGGTCTCGCCTCCATCTACTAGACATTTCGGCTGGGTTTTGGGGCCCCAGAACAAGAAAGGCAGCAGGAATTCCAAAAATACAACATGCAGGACGCCACGTTTCTTGTTGCGGTGTGTTTCGGTGGCTTTACTGCTCTGCCTGTTGCATCTTCTAGATTTCAAAATCGGTACGTTTGCGGTGGGAGTTATGTCAGGCCCCAACGTCCTGTAAATTACGGTGCATATGCCTTGTCTTCACTTCTTCAAGCGCTTGCCGGCAGGTGGCCGTGCAAGGCGCGCAAACCAAGTAGTCAGCTAGAGTCTGTCTACATACATGTGTATATAGTTTGTTTTCTGTTATTTTCGCTTCAGTGTTTTGAGTGATTTTCTATCGTGTAGATATCCGTAATTTCGTGCGGGTTTCATCAGAACATGTCTTGGAGTTTGCTCATTGTAGATATGTGTTCGGGCATTGTTGAGATGTTCTTTCAACTTCAGTGGTTGGATTGTTTTAGTCTTCGTTTGAGTGTTCGAGGTTTTTCCCAAAAACCACCTCGAGGTTGGATTCTTGCTTAGTTTTTCCTTCCCGCAGGGCAGTGTTGGCTTCCGAAATCTTCCGAACGTTTCCGTGGACGGGAAAGATTTTAGCAAAGAGGAAGCGTCCACAGGACCGTATTGAAAGGGCCGGAGACTTTTTTGGGCATCGGCCATTCGCGGCGCAACGCTGTTGTAGACGGCCACGCGGGCTGCGGGGCCGGGGCTGGGGCGGGGAAGGCTGTGGGCGCCGGACTGGGCTGTTGCAGGCTGAGTGAGGCTCTGGCGCGCGGCGCTGATTGGCTTCTTCTTTAGGTTTTCTGCTCCGGAAACAACAGCCGCAGCCCTTCGGGGGCACCGAGCGTTCGCGGGAAGACGCTGCCGTGAACAGGGCTGGGGAAGGTTGTGCGCGCCGAGCGTTTGCTGCAGCCGTGGACGGGCTGGGGAAGGCTGTGCCGAGCGTTCGTGAGGTGACGCTGCTGTAGACGGATGTAGATGGGGCCGGGGAGAGCTACTATCTGTTCGCATGAAGAACTGTATAGGACGCAAGAGGACCTTATGTAGCATCGCATCAGAGCAGCAGGAACAGGAGCTGAAAGCGGGAATAACCGAGTTTGTTGCTAATGACCAATGCGACCGCGCTTGCGAGCCCTTTGTGGTACATTCGCCATGTGCTAGAAAGAGCAACGGAAGCCGCAACGGAAGGTTGTGAGATTACTCGGCTCAGACTTCTGACCTCATTCCATTTCAAACCCATCCACCGAAGGTTGAAGACTCAAAGATGCAAGCATGTTTGTCTTCCTTTTGAAATTTTGGGGCAGCTGCTATCCGTTTATCTACCCGAATTCACTCGTAGCCTGGGGCCTTTGGGCGAGGTGGCAGTGGTCCTTACATTCACACGTAGATCTTGCGAGGCCAGGGAGTGCCGGACGAAGTCGTCAGGTAAGCGAAGGTCGGCATCTCAGGGCAAAGAAAGGCAAGAAGCGCACCATCTGCGGTCCAACATACTGCAACATCCCGACATCCACATGCGTAGCCAATGCAGGCGCGTCATCAGGCGTTGGGAAAGCTGCTGGCACTCGGCCTCGGTCCAAGACAAATCGGCGTTTGAGCAGGGTCGAAAAGTCTTCTTTTCGTCTGCAGCATTCTAGATGTAGTAACGCCGCGAGACATCAAGGGCGGAGAGGGCTTCGTAGCGTGCCAAAAGCAACAATGCTCGCCGTCAAGAGGCCAACAATTGGCCAATTAGGTCACATTTTGATTGTAGTTCGGATTCAAGACAGTGTTGAACTACCAACGTTGGTAATCCACGTATCTACAACGTGTTACACTGCAACTTGACCCTGATATCGCATAGCCCTTCATGGTCCGGTAGGACCATCAGAAGTTAAGGCTTGTACCAGGGACACATGGGGATGGCCCTTTCAGCACAGAGACACGTAATCAGCATAGGAGCCAACATGATAGTAGCAAGATCTTCGCAGATACAGGTTAAGCTCAACACGTAATCCTGCAAGCAACTAAAGTAGCAAACAACACAGCTTCGTTGCGACAGCTACTGAGTGATGTGCTTCTAAGCAGAAGCCACTGCACGCAACCAGGTGTGCATTAAAAGGAGCCCTCAACATATCAAAGAAGCAAATACAGCATTTTCAGCACACGGAACATTCCTGGAAAAGCTGTCTGTGGGAACGCGCAGAAGAATGTCAAACTTGTTTGTTTTCAGATTGGTCCGACATGTTTTTGGGCTTTGTATCATTCTGCCCATCACTGTTGATGCGACTGCCCGGTGCGCTGCTATGTATTTAGGTTGAATGGGGTAAGGTATTGTGGTACTGTGCGTCCTTTCTGAAACCTATTGGTTCTTAGCCAAGATTGCTTTGGATAGTTGTGACCGGTGGCGGTCAGAAAACAGGTGTTTTGGCCGGTCTTTACCATATATACAGATGACATATACGTACAAGATAGATGCGAAAGTTGCACGCATCTCTTTTCTAAACTTATGACTACGCGATAGACGAGACAGCCTTTGACTGCCACTGGACTGCTCACCCTCTTGATACGGTGTCCACCTGGTCAAAGGCTCCCGGCACCACCAACCCCATAGTCACAGGGGCGAAAGGGCCACATCAAAAGCTCCTGTGCCAAGCTGGCCTAAGCAGAATTGGAAGGCAAATCCGTCTTGGAAACAGCCTTCTCGGAGTTTGCTGCTGAAGGTGGAGAAAAGCAGGGCCGGGCGAGCGCACTCAGAAGCAGGCGGCTTCACACTGAGAGTCCAAACGGAGTCTTGCAAGCCTAGCAGCCTAGCAGGAGTCTGAGCCCAACGACAGCGATCCCACGCGGCCCGGCGTTCTCGGTTGCTGTGAGCCGAGATCGTGCTTGTGCTGGGTCCCTGCGCAGAGGTTGCCCGGTGGTCTTGAGACTTCCAGCATCGCCTCTGTAGCGTCTGACTCTGGAGCGGTTTGTCGGGAGCTCGACGAACAAATCCTGGCCAGTGCAACACGTTCACGGTCAGGGCTGTCAGGCCAACACAGCCTGGTCTCCGTTGGAACCGGCGTTGAGGACTGGATTTCCTGAGTTCTGAGAGGAAGTGTGGACAATTCATCTAGCTCTGCCAGCTTTTTCAGGACAGTGTGTGTGGCGAGGCGGCCACCTCGGCTGGACACGAAGATGAGGTGACCCAAAGCAGCAACTCTGAATTCGCATGTCCGTGCCATCGCAGTACAGGTTCAGCGCCTTCGACAGATGGCGCAGATCTCAGCTGACCTTGGCCTTTGCACGGTAGACATACCACGAAGAGCAAAGTTGACTGGATATTTGCTCTTGCAAGAACCTGAAGACAAACAAACGCCACCAAACAAGAAACGGCCCTCTTGAAGAAGTATGACCGAGATTTCGAAGCACTGAACAAAACGGGAGGTGTCTCTGTGTGCATATGTGTCTGTTAGCGCTTTGCGTGCAAACCAAGCTTTACCGCTTCCCACGAAGTCCAGCTACGCCGCTGGGTCGACTGTGCCTCAGGTGTCGTCCCAACAGCAGAGGACATGCTTGGCTCAGAGCTGTGTGCGTTTTGCGATTGGCACGAGCATGTCTTTCACGTCTGTGGTGAGAGTCAGTGATGTGCAGTCAGTCGGCTCTCTAGGGAAGATCCTTATGCAGCCTTACTAGAAGACTGCATGTTTGTGCCTTTGTCGCCACCGATGTGGCAACCTCATGCTTCTGAGAAAGCTCTCTCTCTCTCTCTCTCTGTATCTACGTGTGTTTTTGCATGACGAGTCTTCTGCGCGACGGGCGAGCGACCATGTGGCAGTTGCCAAGGGCTATGGAGTGCACATCGTTGCAAGACAGGCCCCCGCTTTGTTGCTGATTTTATTGGGGTGTATGCAGAGCTAGATGTTGCCGTCGGGGATGTGAAAACAAAAACACTCTCGCGAATCTGAAAGGATCAGCCCACCCGGCCAGCTCGATTCTGACGAGCAGTGCAATGCCGCTTTCCAACAGTGTCTTGACGAAGGTGCGCCAAAGAGGACCACACTTTAAGGCCTTTGTGTGTCGGGAGCAAAGCCATCAGGAGACTTCGGCGACGACTGCGTCAAATTCCAACACACTTGCGGTCTGCACAGCCCTGCTGATGCCTTACTTTGTGTTCGCATGCCGATCTGTCACTGGTTTGATTCGCTTTTCTTGTGTTTACAGTTTGTCGCAGAGCAGCATCGGGGGGACGACTAGTGTACTGTAAGCCCATGATGTTGGCTGGCACGCTGTTGGTTCTATCCTTGCTGTGACTTAAAACAACACGGTCTGCACAGACACACAGAAGATACACAGTTGCCCACAACGTGGGGGGAAGCGGTGATGAGGCACAAGGCGGGGGGGGGGGTCTAAGTAAGTAGTGTTATTGCAGGGGGGTCAACAGCGGCCCAACCGTGCCTCCTCATGTTGTGGATCTCACACCAATCCAGACGACCAGGGCGCAGGCATGCGCGGGGGCGGGGGGTCGGCCTCCGCTAAGACCGTTCGCAGGACAGCCGAGGTGGAAGGCGGGAAGAAGCAGAAGCGGAAAATGGTCGGAGATGTATTTGCCCGTGAGTTGCGGCAGGGTGTTCGACCGAGCCGGATTTTTGCTTGAGGGGTTTTCTTCCGTCATCAACAAACAAAGCCGCGGCTCACCACATGCTGTGTGTGGTGTGTCGCAGAACACGATGAGGATGCGTACCCGGAGGAGATTTGTGGCAAGCCTGTGGAATGAAATTCCGTCAGAAAATCACCTAGTGTCCTGCAACAGGGCTTGAGAACGTCATGGAACGTCATTATTGCATTGCAGGCGTCTGCTCGCTGGACTGTCGGAAGGCAGTTTTGCCGTTCCTGCCTCATAAGTGCGGTTGCGCCTCGTCGTTCCACAGCTCTCTTGTGGCATAGAGCCCGGGATCTTGCCGGAGCCGAATGCCTGCAGACAAATTGAAGGAGTGAGCATGGGAGTTATAGAGGGAGAGAGCGAACAAGTTTCGTTGGGTGAGCATAACCGTGAACGGACGGGTGGGGGGGGGGACAAGGCAGATGAGTTAACACGAGTTGCTTGAGATCACATCGCCGGTGCAGCTTTGAACACTGTGGTGGGAAGTTGTCCGTGCTCACGTGCAGTTGTAGGTTTTAGGACCATCTGCATAGGCTGCTGAGAAGCAGATATCGGATTCAAAAAGCCTTCTACGCAACCTTTCGCTCACGAGACGTCCATAGCATCCATGCTGTTCATTTACATTGGCACCGTATTTCCACAGTGCCGTTGTGCTGCTGTGACAGTAGTCAGGCTACGGAAAGTCGAACAAGCAGAGATAAGTGCTGTTGTCTCAGAACGGGGAGAACACTCAGAGTGATAACTGATATCTTGTATTAGTTTAATGCAGTTACATGTAGCGAATGTCAGGGGAGCGGGAGCCTGACACTACCATTGCTGGTAGAGAGACGGTAGTGAATCATGTGCATGCCGACATGGGGCTGAAGCAGGTGTTGCCGTGCTTCGGCGTGGGCGCTTTGAGCACAACAGAGGCCGGGCCGCTCACCATGATATTGGCTATAACTGGCATTCTAATCTCTTGGCTTGCCATTGCTAAGAGGAGCTGTGGCGGGCTGCGCAGGGCCGTTCGATAGGTGCCAAAAAATCGCGTCTCGCGATCAGGTTGGAAATCTATGTGCGGCCGTGAGAACAAATCCCCGTGCCTTTGACGAGTGGTTGGCACTGATCAAGCAAGCTGCGGCCCCAGACTGTTGCAAAGCATCGCAAGGCTGTCATGCTCGATGTCATGTTGCGGTTTGTCAAGCTGTGTGTGAATGCTTGCCTGCACAGGTTGAGACCCATGGGTCAGTTGAGGAGAGACTAAGTTTGCAAGACTCTTACGCAATCAGTTTTGGCTCTTGCTTTTGCCGCACCTTGGGTCTGCGAGCCACTGAGGTATGAAGCCTTCCTCAAAGAGTTTCCACTGTGTTGGGGCTACTGGAAGAGGTTTCTGCACTGTCCTTGTTGTGTGTGACCGTGTGCGACCTAGCGTCGAAGTCGCCACGCAGTCACAGGTTGGCTGAACTCGTCAAAAAGCGCCGGCTCCTCGGAGCATGGCCAGGAGTTTCCAAGCGGGACCAGTAGAGTCGGACGAGTCGGACTCTCGTGTTTTGGCTTGGAAAGTGGAAGGCACAGTCATGATAGTCATTGACCACCATGCTTTGTCGAGAGAGGCATTGCATACAGATGCAGTCCACCGAGCCACGAGCTAGCAACTTTGTTTTCATGCCGGAGCACGATGCGAGCGTGCTGATGGTACCGTGGATGGCGATTTCAGCGCCGTGACTTCGTGCTTCATCAAATGGACAGCCAGCTTGAGGCGTGCTCTTGCAACGCAATCTGTAACTGCTCCCTACGGCCCGGCCCCACTAAACGCGACCTTGCTGGGCAGCAGTCACTTTGATCCATTTTCGTCGCACAGAGGTATCGCCAGGCCGGTCGACCAGCAGCACAGCACCCTTTCCTCACCGTGATGGAGGTCTTCTGCAGGCAGAGATCCCACTCCCAAGCACCACTTGCAGCAAAGCAGTACGGACCAGTCGACATGGACGTGGGTTTGGTGAAGCTTTGTTTGCTTCCAGGATTCAGTGACGTTTCCAGAGATGAAGGACTCCGCCGGTGCAAACATGTGCAAACGCATGTGCATCATTAAGTCGCCGTACACCCGTGAGCCTCGTGACGCATGCCGCCCCAATCGTTCCTATGAAAATGCAGGATACGTAATATCTCATCTCGAGGCGAGCAGAGTAGGTCATGCAGTAGAGCTTCACCTGCTTGGAGGGATCGTGGTCATTAAATAACCTGGCAACATGCACCTTCATGGCATTCGTGCGGACTCCAGAAAGTCCCAGCAGCGAACTCCAGCGCTCCAAGGGAGGGCTTGACCATCAGCACAACGCAGCAACGCATTCATCGATCGTGGATGATGGTCGGGCTAGGAGAAGCCTCATGCGCAGTCTTCTGCTGACATGTAGCTTGAAGAACAGCTGTGCCAATCTACCTTTCTGTTCCAACAATACTTACGCAGCAGAGGCGCATCTGTTCGGGGCCAGGTTATGGTGCCCCGACATGTCTCTTCCACTAGACCCGCAATGTGCCCGGCGTGTAACAAGCACAACTTCAAGCAGCCATGGCAAAAGATGTGCCAATGTGTACGATGCAGCGTCCAGCATCTTGCATCGATCCGCATGTTTTGTAGAGCATCGGCACACTTGTGGCAGAACCATCTTCTGTTTATTAAGTGTGGGGCCATAAGCACCTGGCTCACAGATTTGCATGCCAGGATGAGGACGAACCTCAGCCGGGTGTCGTCTTAAAGCTGGCCGAGGCTTGCACACCAAGTAGCATGCATGCATGGATGCAGGCATTCAGTGTATACATGTTTACAGTTTACATGCAAAGATGTTTATATATATATATATATATCTGCATACCAGTATTCATGATCGCATGTGAGTTATACCTGTGGACATGCTTACATTTTGGTTAGATGTAAATATGTCTAAGGGAAGCATGTGTTTACATACATATGTATACACGCACATGTATATATATATAAGTATACATATGTATATATCTATATCTGTACATGCATCTGCATATTTGTATGTATATGATTGTACATGTGTGTTGGTGTGTATATGTATACAGGCGGTTCGATAGCTCCAAACTTTCTGAAGCGCTTCCTCTCATAAAAATTGCTACTATCGCACCAATGCGTTTTTCCATGGTTACTAAGACTTGAGAAAAACCAGGGCGGTACCATAGCACCAAATTCTTTGTTGCGGTTCCTTTCAGCAGTAGCAGTAGCAGTAGCAATAGCAGTAGCAGTAGTGGTAGTAGTAGTAGTAGTAGTAGTAGTAGTAGCAGCAGTGGTAAGAGTAGTAGTAGTAGTAGTAGTAGTAGTAGTAGTAGTAGTAGTACTAGTAGTAATAGTAGTAGTAGTAGTCGTCGTGGTGGTGGTGGTAGTAGTGGTGGT